CCTGGGTTGATTTACCCGAGGTAATAAATAATTAGTATTATGACTTTGACCTTGTGTCAAAGATGGACTCGGATATTGTTCCCGAGGTGTAGAATTAGAATAAGAAATAGTATTTTTAAAATTACAAAATTTAGTAAGACTCGGCGGCATTTGACGTCGCTGCGATGTATTATAAGAATATTTTGTACGATAATTATAATTAAATTCGTTATCATTATATATAGGCTTAGTATAAAATTTGGTATAAGAGTTAGTAGAATAGCAATAATTATTCGTGCCTTTGAATGTTTTCAATTTCGGTAGGCACTTTACCGAAATCGGAGTTAGTTTAAATCTTCGTTACAAATATCGGCACTAGAGGTAGAAGGTTGTGCGTCATATAAATGCATATTGTTTCTATTGGGCGCATGCGCACTGGGACTTGGTAACGTATTCGTCGGGCGAGTATCTGGTTGCATGTTACGGCGATTTTTGTTTGAGATGTTATGAGAATTAAAATAAGGGTTATTATTTTGCGGATTAACATAATAAGCTCGATGAGGTTGTTTTTTCCTATTATGGTAGCAGCTGGAAGAATCATGACCAAGTTTTTGACATATAGAGCACTGTTTATAAGATTTATAAGATATTTTGCTTAGAATAAATAATTTCTCCTCTTCTATGGCATGAGTAATCGCCTCGCTTAAATTTTTCGGGTTTCGACATCTAACAATATATCCATAGTCAGAATTTAAACCTAAAATAAAAGTGCTGAGGGCTAAATCCTCCATAGCGGCTATTCTTCCTACTAGCTCGGACTTATTCTCACAACTATAATGTATGTCGGATTGTAACCGCGGTAAACAAGACTCGATTCTGAGCGAATATTGCATTACAGTTTCGGAATTTCCCTGTCTACAATTTTGGAGTTCTATTAAAAGGCGTGTTGAGTGTTTCTTTTCGCCAAAGGTAGTTTTTAGAAATATTTTTAATTCATCCCAACTATTGAAAATTTTAATGAGCGTGCGATTTGGGCTTTTCCCTCTAACTGGGATATGATATACCGATATAAAACTGATTGCTGTTCCGAATTCGCGAGTGCTATGGCGTTATCACAATTTGTAAGAAAAGCCGGAAGTGATTCTCTATCACCATTATAAGGCTTAATAAGTTTTGTAAGGACGGATAGGGGAATTTTGTCAGACATTTCTATTTCTTCTGATTTTTCCTTTAAAGTTTTAGTCTTAAGCATGTGGAATTAGAAAGATTTAGGAGAGGAAATACAAAATTGGTAAAATGAGAATATTAGTACACAATAAAAGACAAAAAAATGTAAAGAAATAGAATAAAATTATCGCTAAATTAATGTTAACTTACAATATCACGAACACTACGGTGAACATTGGTTCCTATGCCGGTGTCGTGTTGCGATGACGTGCAGCGGAGTCGCGTTGCCGTGAGACCCCGGGAGTCGTTTGACGGCGGCGTCCACGTGGTTGTGCGGTGGGAATGTACAGGTCAGGGCAGGCTCACACGCTGGTGGTGTAGACTGATAGCCTTGATCAACTTCGTGTTGACGATGGTGTCCCAAGCTCGTGGGGCTGAGACCTCGTTGGTGCTTCGATGATGCAAGCTCACACTCGTGGGGTGGAGACATACTGTCGATCTTTCTTCAGAGTTTCCCAGGATTCGGATGCCACGCTACCGATGTATCAGTAGACCTTGTGACATCCCACTTCTGACACCAAATTTGTTAGGAGGGCCGCTCTGAAGGTGTTTTAAAAAAATACTTTTACACCCAATCCCGGAAGTTCTTTTGGTTTATTTCCCCAACATTAAAATAATACAAAAAATATACAAAAGCCGCGAACGGCGTGTGGCACTTAATATGGGTTGGAGCTGCACTGCCTCGATTACCCCAAACTCTAGGCTTTTATAGTAAATATAATAATCGAGTCAGCGCTTTTATGTAACTAGGGTTGGACATAATAGCACTTATATATATTTCCACGATTATTTTTCGTACGGCAGCACGTGCCGGGTCCATTATATAATGATGTCGTGTAAAAGTGCTTTAAAAGTATCCATCGCCCCATTTCATCCCGTGAGCTTCTCTAGAGGCGATTACAGGAAGTGGTAGAAATATTTCTCAAATTCCGCTGGTGAGCGATATAAATAATCTCCTTTACGCTTGATGTGAAATGCCAATATCGATGACGGGAGCAGCGCCAAAGGGTGAGACAGCTGGCATCATGAACGGCAGTTCACTTGCTAATCGTGGCGGTAGCGATGGTCTCAGTAAATAAGATTCTTCAACAGCCTTTTACGTGTTGATGATAAAAAAAATTATACCCTTTTAAACCTTAGGGGATTTTGTCTTTGTAAATATATATAAAAAATACAATCAGTACAAACGAAAATACTTTCGCCGTATTATATAGCTTTACCATAGCTACCATATGTTTTAGTTTTTATTGTTTACCTGTTAGCAGGTATTGGAGTATTTTAAATTTAAACTATTATATTAAAATTTTAGTATTGGACCTATAGTGTTTATGCGGGACTTCAAAAAATAACGCAATAAACTATTTAACATATTATAAAATAAAAGGATTAGCAAGTTACGAAATCGCTGTTACGTACAACTACATGTACTACAGTTAAAAATGTTTCCGAAAATTGTCATTTTAATTTCCCGAAACAATAACTAGAACCTGAATAGTCGCTTTTACGACGTAATAAAGGAACCCTAAAATACCTATAAAGTTTTTTATATAAGTTATAAGTGTTAATGTTTAATTCGTTCATTAATTTCGATTTATCAAAAGTGCACTGCTTATCGTAGGCCGGCACTGTTAGTCAGTTCTTTCGATCTTTATAAGGAAGATGATGCTGCCCACCTTCTGGTTTGGTTTCCCGATGTCGCCTGTTACAATACCCACGGGATGATATGGATTCTCTTACGCTGCCACTACACAGTAAAAACGTGCCAGCTACCTCTACTCATACCTTGTAAATATCGTAATGTAACATTTATAATTTTACTCGATGATAAACATTTATTACTTATTTAAAGTAAGTAAAGTAAAACACTCTAATTTTGTGTTATTCCTTAGTAGTGTTCAGCAGTGAACTTATGAAGGACTGTAACGGAAATATAATGGAAATTGAAGCTTTTGATTTGTTACGGAGATTCAAATGTGGTGCTAAATGAGCGACAAGCCGATAGCACAGACTCGACTCCACGCCGTGGTAGCGGCGTAAAATATAGTACCTCATATTTCGCACCATGAGAAACCAAAGAAAAGAATTGGCCCCAAGTTCCCGGCGCCCCTTGAATGGGGCAGGGGTGCGATGAATCTCTGGAAGGAAAACCGGCGACGATGTTCGCCACGAACGAAAGGGTAAGAAATTGTGTAATAAGAGAAGAGTGTGGTTTGCAAGATGATGTTGTGACCAGGATTAAGAAAGGAATGCTTCGGTGGATTGGTCATGTGGAAAGAATGAATGAGGAAAGAGTGACAAAGAAAATGTATGTTGCAGAAGTGAATGGCAGAGTCGGAAAGGGACGTCCTAGGCGAAAATTTATCGACCAAATTGGCGATTTATTGAAAACGGGCCAAATTAGGAGTACCCTTAAACCGACGAGCATGTATGCGTAGGTGTATGGATGTGAAGGAGGCGAGAGAGGTGTGTCAGGATCGTGCCAAATGGAAGTCTGTAGTCTCTGCCTACCCCTCTGGGTGACAGGCGTGAGTGTTTATGTATGTATGTATGTATTCACTCGTAACTAGCGAGTTAGCAAACGCTTTATGAAAGTTCCCAGCAAAGAAAACTTTATTTTAGTGAAAATTTTAACGCTTTTAAAATAATTAACAGAGTTTATTTAGTTATAATATTCCCACTGAAACTTACAACTGCATATTACTTACTATCGTGTACTTTCAGTTGCAGAATTACGTAAAGCTATTTCTAAAACTTACTTTTGAAACTGCTGACCGGAAAATAATCCAGTATTATATCTATTTTAGTTAAGCAGATTTTAATTTCTTTGTTGTATTAGAAATACACGTGCGTGTCGATATGTGACTAGTGGATATTCTATTTTTATAAAGTGCATTTTATATAATGATATTTTTATATACACCGCCACCAAACGGCTGAAGGCATTGATTTATATAGTACACACAGTAATACAGTTTTGTATAACCTAATGGTTGAAGGTCCTAACGTTTACTACAAAAATACAGTGCATATTTTAAGCTGCGTTAGGGACTAAATAGTATAACTTCTTATCCAAAAGCATCTTCTTTCATGTTCATCATTCATCATTTTTGTTAATGGTTTTAATTAAAAATTACACTCTATTGTGAAGAGTCAAAATGTGTCGAAAAAGGCACGTATGGCAATTCACGATGCTGTGTTGGTCCCTACTTTAACGTATGGTAGTGAAAGTTGGGTGTGGCAGAAGAAGCACGAGAGTAGAATAAACGCAGTAGAAATGCGGTCGTTAAGGGAGTATGTTAGGGCTGAATCTGAATGACAGGGTAAGAAATTGTGTAATAAGAGAAGAGTGTGGTTTGCAAGATGATGTTGTGACCAGGATTAAGAAAGGAATGCTTCGGTGGTTTGGTCATGTGGAAAGAATGAATGAGGAAAGAGTGACAAAGAAAATTTATGGTGCAGAAGTGAATGGCAGAGTCGGAAAGGGACGTCCTAGGCGAAAATTTATCGACCAAATTGGCGATTTATTGAAAACAGGCCAAATTAGGAGTACCCTTAACCGACGAGCATGTATGCGTAGGTGTATGGATGTGAAGGAGGCAAGAGAGGTGTGTCAGGATCGTGCCAAATGGAAATCTGTAGTCTCTGCCTACCTCTCTGGGTGACAGGCGTGAGTGTTTATGAATATGAATAAAAAAAATTAAATATTGCATTACGAGTGAATATTTCTAGACAAAGCGAGGTTAAAAGTTTTGTTCTTACATCTTTAGTGATTACAACACCTGGTATAAACTTACATTGAGCGCCAAGGTGAGGAAATCCAAAGTAATCAGGAACGAAGTTATCGGATTAAAGTTGAGCTGTAAAGGAAGAAAGTACGCTTTAGCAGAACTTAAAAAGTATGTTATATAATAGTTTGCACAATCGCTACGAAATAAAGGATGAAGAAAACTATTTCCTGAAATAGAACAGTTATTTATGTATTTTAAGTATTTTCACTTGGCTTGACCTGACATTCGATATACCTCATATCACACTGTCTATCAAGCAAGGACTTGCGTGTTTTCTGCTTTACTTACTAAATTCTATATAAATAAGTTAGGGGCACTCAAAAACGATTTGTTAATAAAAATAATAAGTATTTTTTAGTTATAAAACTATCTTTTTTATAAAACTAAAAAGCTACATATTATATATTCCGATATCTTTGACGAAAACTGTCTTATGATGACGATTATGATGACGAAAAATTTTGCTTTAATGCAAAACTAATAATACAAATTTTTTTAATCATAGAAAATTAAATTTAAATAAATGTGAATGTCTTTCCGAGACAGATTTCTTTTTAATTATTACTAGCTTGCCAGGCAGGCGTTGTTTTCCTCTTTTCGACGACCCTTTGTCATATCCTATTAAAAATCCTTAAATTCACAACAAAATTGTGGGTCACTCATGGGAAAAAAAACTATCATATCTGTCAAATTGGGCCAAACTGCACCCGGTGTGCAAATTTGATTAAAACTCGGTTAAGTAGCTTAAAAGTCCATCGCGGACAAACAAGGTGATACGTAATTTGTATGTATTTTATGCTCAACATAGGCCCAAAAGGACGGTCCTGAGTCACTGCACCCATCAACTTCTTGCGTGCCTTACCAGGTCGTCACTCCATCTAATTTCCCCCACACAGCCCGCAAGAATATTGTTTCCCCATCGGTTGTCGGGTCTTCGAGCTATATGGCCGGTCTATTGTCACTTCAGTTCTTTAGTTCTTCAGTTTACTAATCCGTTGAGCTAATCAGGTTCTACTGCGGATATCCACATTTCTAATTTATCACGGGTAGCAACCCCGAGCATAGCCCTCTCCATAGCTTCCTGAGTGACCTTGAGCTTCCTCATACGGCCAGCAGCGAAACACCACGTCACAGATCCATAAGTAATCACTGGCAACACGCACTGGTTGTACAATCTCGTTTTTAAGTTTTGAGGTAAGTATACCTGACGAGAAGATGTGTGGTAATCTCCCGAACATTGCTCAGCCGATTTGAACCCGTCGATTGACTTCTTGATTGAAGTTGGAATTACCTTGTTGGACTATTTGCCCAGGTAAACATACTCGTCAACAATTTCAAGATCAACGCTCCCAGCAACTACCGACATAGTCATGACATGGATGTTACACATGATCTTTGTTTTGTCAATGTTCATCTTAAGACCTACCCGTTAGGAGGCGCTGTTAAGGTCATTGGACCTAGTGCTTAGGTTCCCCAACGATTATGTCATAAGGACTATATAGTCGGCATATAAAAGGTGAGTTACGTATTTGCCACCGAGGTTATTATTGTATTATTTTTAATTTAGTAGCTTAAAAACTTTTTCCAATGGCAACGGTGAAGAGTTGCGGGGGTATAACATCACTTTGACTTACTTCTGGTTCGGTACTCGGATAGTCCCCTTAGCCCTACGATACAAACAATGCAACACCAACAGTTAACTTGGCAACGTGCACTACACTGCCCAAATTTCGACGAAATATAAGGCCTTTTTACTATTTTTGTACATTTTTTGTATATTTGTACTATACACATACGCAGGGCAAATTGGCAGATTGTACTCTTTGGCCATCTGTACAATTTATCGTAGGGTATGTAGTTCTCCCGAACTACATACCCTACGGGTGGAAGTCTTCAAATCTGCTTTCAAGACGACTCGTAATGACTCTCGAAAACAAACGCGGTTCAGAAGGGAAATGGGTCAGTAGTTCTTGAAGAGTGTTACCTGTCTTGTAAGACAAGGCCAACGCACTTAAGCTATGCACCCTAGGAGTAGTGTGCACCATATCATGAAGGACGGAATTAAAGAACTTCTAAAGAAATTCAAAATCTTGTTTTTCACCCGTTTTCATAATCATCATCATCATTATTACTGCCCTTCACAAGTCCACTGCTGAACATAAGCCTCCCCCAAGGTATGCCACAAAGCACGGTCCTGAGCCACCTGCATCCATCGACTTCTTGAATGTCTTATCAGGTCCTATATCAGGCTACTATATACTACTACTACACTACACTATACCTGAACGCTGCCCAGTCGAGTTCAATCTGTCAATTGACCTCCAGGTCGAGGTAGAACTTACCTAGTCGGAATATTTGCCCCAGGTAAATGTAGTTGTTAACAACTTCGAGCTCAGAGCTCCCAACAATTGCCGGCATAGGTGTGACATAGATATTAAACACGATATTTGTTTTGTACATGTTCATCTTAAGACCTATTCGTTGGGAGACACTTTTGAGGGCATTGAGCATAGTGTTTAGGTCCTCCAGTGATTCTGCCATAAGTACTATCGTCGGCGAATCAAAGGTGTGTAACGTACTCGATACTGATGTTAATACCGTATCCTATCCAGTTCAGTAGCTTGAAAATATCTTCCAATGCAGCAGTGAAGAGTTTCGGGGATATAATGTCACCCTGTCTTACACCTCTTTGCAGTTGGATAAGTTTCGTACTCTGGTTCTGTACTCAGATAGCCATCGTTACCCTACTGTACAATGAACTTCAGCACTTTGATATATCGACACCGACTCAAATTTCGACGGTTTTTTCATAGCTATATGGACTGTCACTGTGGACGCCAGTCAAAGTGGCATATTATACTCTTCGGTCTTCTATACAATTTGCCGCAGGGTATGTATATGGTCTAGGCTACTGAAGCCTTTTCGGAAACCGGCTTGTTCGGAAGGCTGGAGGTCGTCAATTCTTCGTGCGAGTCGATTCGTAGTGACTCTCGAAAACAATACGTAGACGCGGCTCAGAAGGGAAATTGGTCAGTAGTTCTTCAATAGACCGTTGTCACCTTTTTTGAAGAACAAGACCACCGCACTTCTGCTTTACGCCTCCGGAGTAGTACCACCATGGAAGATTGAATTGAAAAGCTTCTGAAGGTCTTTAAGTATCGGTTTTCCACCCAATTTCAGAATCCCCGCTGTAATTCCATCCTCGCCCGGGGACTTGCGTTATTAAGGTGCTGAAGAGCCATTCACACACCTTACACCGTTCACATATCACCTTATTTCGCCCACTTAGTGAAAAATTAAAAAAAAATATTTTTAGTGAAGTTATCGTCACAGATTACAATTCAGTGGCATAAATTTTATGCTGTGTAACAATGTCATAATTGTAACGCTGTTTGTGTCATAATAAATAAATTATACAATATTATTATTATCACTATAACTTTAATTGTATTTATTCTGTTGAAAAGAAACATTTCTATTTCTATTAATTAAAAAAGACGCTGTTTAAATTAATAAAATTAATTTTCACACAAATTATTTCTTAACTTATTTTACTTTTTAAATTATTGACGTAGCTTAACAACAATTTAAGTGAAGGATTTATTTGACTTTCAAATCAAGAATTAGATCGTTTGCTCTACCACCCTACGTTCCCAATTTTGTGGCTTGCCATTCCCTACGAATAAAATAGCTAGACAGGGTTAGAAGATGAGTAGTACAGGCAAATGGTGAAGAAAAATTAATTAAAATAAATTGTATGTAATCTGTCCTTTCTATCTTTTAAACTCAAAATGCGTACTACTTTACATCAAACTTTATTTACTCAAAATGCGCATTACTTTAAATGATTTTACTGCGGACGCACACATTTGTAAGGGTCGATCGGTAGACATAAACGTTGTTGCTTAAAATTACATTCAATTTGGATAATTTCAAATAAAAATAGAAACCTTATTTATTTGTTTTTTTAAATTTTGTGTGTGTGTGTGCGTGCGTGCGTGCGCGCGTGCGTGCGTACGTGTGTGTGTGTGTGTGTGTGTGTGTGTGTGTGTGTGTGTGTGGTCATGCATTCAGTCGTGCATGCTTGCGTGAGTGCATAGTTGTGCTATGTGTGTGTGTGTGTGTGTGTGTGTGTGTGTGTGTGTGTGTGTGTGTGTGTGTGTGTGTGGAGTGTGTGTGTGTGCGCTGTGCGCGCGCGTGATGTGCGTTTGTGTGTGCGTGTGTGCGTGTGTGCGCGTGTGCGCCTGTGTGGGTGTGTGCGTGTGCGCTGCATGTGTGCGTGTGTTCGTGTGTGCGTGTGTGCGTGTGTGGCGTGTGCGCGTGTGCGCGTGTGCGCGTGTGCGCGTGTGCGCGTGTGCGCGTGTGCGCGTGTGTGTGTGTGTGTGTTTTAAAAGATATTTTTTGTACAAAACACAACCTGGATTTAAACTGACAATTGCTACTTTATTGTGAAATTTTTGTCTTGTTGAAAATAAAAATTGTCTTACTCACACCTTTGCTCATACAATTTTTCTTTCAACTCCTAGAAGTTAGCGTTTCTTTTGATTACAAAAGATTCGTTGGATAAATCGCAATTAAAAAATAAACAACCATTTATTCGACGGTTAATCAGCCAAACAGTTTAGTTCGTAGATTATTGGACATTTTGACTGAGAATTGAAAAATCTGTTCTTAGTGTCAAAAACCACGCACTTTTAGTTTACAACCTAGAATTTTTTACTTTATATTTTACACTTATTTGAGATTGAGACTCAATATGATGATCACAGCAAACATATGTGTTAATTGACTTTATACTAGTATACCAGGATTCTAATAACATGTGACATATGATTATTATGATACCAAATTTAAGTTATTTAAAAGTTATTAAATAGCAGTATCCTCAAAATAATATTTAAATGTAATAATATTTAGACTTACTTACTTGGGTTTTTTTTTATTACTTACAGTCCCCATATAAAATTCGTAGACGACATTGATTAATTCTACAAGAATTATAAGTCCCATTGCGACGATCCACGGCAGCAATAAGTATTTAATATCCTGAAAAATAATCTAAGTCAATTTTCTGCATATTCATATTGATAAGCATATCAAGTGTATGCGTGTAATAATAGTATCATTTAACTATCAAAAGTAAATATCATCCAGTGGAAAGATTATGACATAACAATTATAACGTATTATACAATTTAAAAATCAGTAATATAAAACTTTTAGGTGTAGAATGTAGCATTTTATTGTCCCTCAAAGTATATAACTACAGAAAGTTGGAAGTAAAAGTAAGAAATGTGACATTTAGTACATTTAGTACTTTATGTGTTACTTAAACAGCTTCATTACGTTCACGCGCCAGATTGCAAGCATTACTTGAAAATTTGACACAAACTCACTACGCTAGGCAAACAGGCCCAAAACCCTTTTCCTGCTCCTCACTACTAGTCTCAGTAATTTGAGTTGAGCATTTTCGAATGAATAGTTGATCACACAAGCTACGTCCGTCTTCTAGTTAAAGAACGGGCAGGTTTGAGTGATATTTGGGAAATAAGTATATAGTATTATCCTTACCCCATACATGCAGTGATTTGTAGTGGTCGCGTATGAGAATGCACTGCATATATCATGCTGTAAGTGTTTAAGGAGGCGATAAAGGGAAATGAAACAGAGTATGGACAAAAGCACTTCCTAATAACAACTTAATGACAATTCCAATTAATGCAGCCGTCAGCCCGCTTGCTAAGTATGGCAACTACCTATGGTAAATATCCCCCTATGTGGAAATTTACTGAAGGACTATTATCAGCAGTGAACTTGTAAAGATGATGATTCTCCCACACACCCCACCCCCAACAAACTCAATAACTAATAAAGGAAATTTCCAATAAGGATCAATTTTTTTCTCATTTAAATCGGGTTTTAATCTAGGTATAATTAGCATTAATAGAGTTCACAGTACATACCTTGTAGACACCTATGATTAGGAGTATACAAGCAACGAATCCGAAAGAACCACATACTGACCGAGTGATGTTCAAAGAAACGGTAACTGTAACATAAAAAAATATTTTAAATTACTATCAGTAGCAAATTACACATTCAAACTTCGTAACGTAAACGTGTGAATATTTCCTCAACCTATGTACACGATATCGCGTCATAATACCCGTTATTTTAGGTGTCTAAAAAGGAAAACACAAACAAAAGAGGAGTTACACTGCACTTGCCAGTACGGGGCTACCTCTGGAGATCTGTCGGCTGGCCGGTACATTGTCACTTTAGCTAAACCAGATACTCTTCCCTTTCTACAGATATCCTTATTGAGGTTTTTGTCCCATAGATAAATTCTAAATAAAGCCATTTCCATCGCACTTAAGGTACCGTAAGTTTTACTGTTACTTTGAATTTATAGATGATAATAACCCCTGGGAAGGGTGATCGCTACCAAGCTATTTCTAATTTGTCTTGTGTTGTTGATTGTAAACATGATTGTAAGCTATTATTAAAAAAAATAGTCCCGCTGGGTTTCTTGCTGGTTCTTCCCAGGACAGAGGTTTTTTTTTTGCAAACCAGTGGTAAATTAAATAAGTGACTTTCAATAAGTATTTTTATAATCTACATTGAATAAAAAAGTTTCTATTTCTATTTCTATTTCTAAAAAATGTTTTAAGAAGATAAAGGGAACACGAGGTGGCAACAACTTTACAGTTTACTTATAAAATCTGCTATTCACAAGTCATTATTTTATTCAAGCGAAAAATGTAATGTATGAAGCCTGTTCCTCGTGATGTCGTCTACATGCACCTAGGTGCTATGCAGGTATCGGGACTCGGGGTATACCCCATTGCCCGGACTTTCCTCATGGCCCACTGCTATGGGCCAGTCCTGGGTGCCTATATTAGGCTAGTTGCACGCGGAGACTTTCCGTAGTGTGACAATTTAGTTTTCCCGTAGTTAACCAACTACGGGAAAAAAGGAGGTTATCCGATAAAAAGTTGTAGTTGGCCTATCAGCGGCATTGAGGGTTTTTACTCGACTCTCTAATCGAGAGGAGTTCTCTTGGAAAAGGTCGTTCGTCCGGCGGCCGAGTATGCAACGGCGCAAATCCGTTGAGGTGTTCATGTGGCCCGTTGTCGGCGCGGTCGAACATGCCGCGCGCCAGCCAGGCCACGAAGTCGGTGATGTTCTCGACCTTTAGATCGGACGCTATAACGTCGTTCCGGACGTAGCGACCTGCTCCGACGATCATCCTTAATATCAGATTCTGCTGGGCCTGCAGTCGCCGCCTCAGAGGGTCGCTCTGAAGTGCGTACCAGGCCGGAGCAGCGTAGGTGATGATGGTCCGGATATATATCTTGTATATCCGGAGCTTGGTTTTAATAGGCACCTTGGATGCTAGGACCGGCAAGAGCGTCGCCCGCGCTCATCGGGTTCTGCGGACGACGAAGTTGACGTGCGCGATCATGCGCAGCGTCCTGTCGATCCTGCACCCAAGGTAGGTTACGGCCTTCTGGTACGCCATCTTCTGGCCATTGAGGGTCAGCGTAGGTGGAAATTTCCGGAGACGGCGAGTGAGCAGAGCGGTCGTCTTACCAACGTTGACGACCATCCTCCACTCGTCCAGCCATGGTGGCAGCAGGACCAGCAGCTGCATTCTGGCAGTGGCTATGTGGGCTCTTCTGGACGAGGTGAAATAGGCGCTTAATCCGAATATAGCGCCATCTTAACGTCGTCCTCCCACTCTTGAAGCCTGCCTGCCAGTGTTGGGATATCGTTAGTATAAGCCGCGTACAGGACTGGAGACAAACAGCTGCCCTGTGGAACGCCGGCTCTGATGGATCTGGTTGCGGACTCGGCGTCCTCTACGCAGACGTAGAACTTCCTGTCTTCCAGGAAAGACGTCATTAGCCGCAACATAGCAAGAGGGACACTGGTCTGTTCGTACAGCTTGTAAAGCAATCCTGAGTGCCACACCCTGTCGAACGCCTTCTCCATGTCGAGAAAGACGCCCAACGATATGCGGCCACGATTGTACTCTGCCGCAAGCAGGTGCAGCACTCTAGTCAACTGTGTGACTGTAGAGTGACCCCTCCTGAATCCGTGCTGCTCCGCCCGAAGTTGGATGCACGGACGGAGACGTCTTAGCAGCAATCTTTCTAGCAGTTTAGCTATGTGCGGTAATAGCGTGATCGGCCTGCAGCTGGCAGCTCTACGCCTGTCCTTCCCGGGTTTCGGCAAGACGATGACTTTGCCTTTCTTCCAGTCCTCCGGGAGAAGTCTGGTCAAATATTGGAACAATGCGTTAAAGTAAAGCTCACCCATAGAGAAGACATGATAACTGTTTGGCAGTCACTTTATGATGTATTTCATTTTAGTTTTTCGAGATCCGGTCTATAAAAAACTACAGATAAACACAGTTAAAGTAAAACTTTTACATTTTTATTACTAATTTATTATTTTTGATTTATTATATTTTTATTTAGCTCTAACTGATTATCATGTTTTCTTGTATGTATCGGACTATTTACTGTATGCAAAAAGTGTGCTGTCCGGAAGCGTTACAAAACGCCACCATAAACTGAAGTGTCCAGTTCCCCAGAGTTCTATCGTAAAGCCTAATGATTTTACCCCGAGATGGCAGAAAAATTAAAGTTACAGCTTATACACGTCCCACCTCTTATTTCTGAGAGGGTTTTAGGTCAAAAAAGTGTCTGCCGCGCTGTTCCTATGCGTATTCACGTATCTTTGAAATGTCACGAGAAAACCTGAATGTCTGAAAAATAAAAAAGATCATAGGAATATAGATAATAAGATTAAATGAATATATTTTTTAGAAAAATACATTCGACTTTTTTAATAAAAACCGAAAATCATAATTTAACCCCTAATACAATAATCATAAAATAAATACGATATTTTATAAAAATATCAAAGATAATTTTAGACTTTATCTATGTTAATTAAATTAAGGTCCCATTTTAGGGCAGGTGGTCTAGCATTGGATTTGCATGGTGATGATGATGATAAAGGTTATCATACAATACATTTCATTATACTTACTTGGAGTGATTTTATTAGGTTCCAAAAAGCTTTTTGGTTCCGGTTCTTTCATTTTACCACTAAGGTAACGATGGTCAATTTCTCTGAAATGTTCCATGTTTACGGTGGTTGCGGAGAAGTAAACCTTAAAACAAAAATCTTTGTTAATAAATCAAATGTAATAAAAATAATCAAAAATAAATTTATTAAGGTACAAGCTAAATTCGTGGTTTAACTTCCGTCCAAATATAAATGAATCCTATATTCGAAGCTTCTAGCTACGTAATAGACAATTTAGTGCCACATGAGTAGCGTTCACTCACTTGTTCGAGTTCGTGTCCCATATAAACAAATATTATGCAACTGTAACGAATTACAAAGAAGAGTAAACAAAAATGGAGGAGAAGAAGCGTGTACCTGTAAAAACGGTTAAAGTAAAACTTTTTAATAAGAATACAATACCTATTAAAACGTATTAATCATTTTACGAGTACATTTTTATTACTAATTTATTATTTTTCATTTATTATATTTTCCCCTGACCGTTACAGCTTATCAAAAACCACTGGTTAACATATTCCTCCCCTATAAATTGCCTCATAGGGGGGATATTTGCATTTGATATTTTACCGTATAGTGGCGGTACGAATATCCACTAACCCATATCGTCCCGTGGTAACGTACCGTGATGTCGTTGGACACGATAGAGGGAAGTAAGTCATGATGTGGGCAGCAGCGATTATTTAAAAACAACTTAAACATAAAAAACCTTCAGTTGCCAACCTGCCTGGCAAGCGTGGCAACTATTATTAACATTTTACTTACTAAAAATATTTACAATAAATTTAATAATAACTAATTAAAATTATATAGAAAAGAAGAAATAAATTTAGGTATAATGTATAAAGTTTCAAAATTGCATATAATAATATGTGTACTAATTATTAATATAATATTATCGAAAGTCATTTGAAATAAAATAAAAATTGTGGCAATATAACTCACACAGGTCTTCTTTAATTTTATTTCAAACTTTCGAGCGCTCGAAATGAAAAACCCTGTACACGCCGTTCTTCTAAACTCAATCGTAACTTCGCCGCAGTGGAATTCACAGAAATATTAAAACTAGACCTGTTTACTTCAAGATTCATATAATTTTAGCAACTAAAAAAAATTTAAATTATGATGAATTAAGGCACGTAAAGACATATCAATGAAAAAAAGTCAAGAAGTTGATTGTGGTCAAATATTTAAAATTTTGGTTTTTTGAAACCTTTTATACCTATATAATATAGAATAATCACAAAATAATAAAAATATTAATAAAATTTAAAGCATAAATTCAATTAAACAAAGGAACATGAAAAGATTGAGGTCTGGATTATAAACTCTAGACGAAACAATGACCAACGATTTTTTGAAATTTCCGCGAACACTACACATTGAATACAACTATATATACGGATTCTATCGCATTTTATTTACTTATTTTAACTAATATTTAATTCACGTTTTGGGTGCTTTACAACACCCAAGGTCACGGGGGAGGGAGGGGGGGGGGGCTGAGATGTTTCTCATTCCAATCTCATAGTTAGCCCGGCTATCTTCAGCTTTTTAATACTAATTTTCGGTAATATTATTATTTTCGAAAATTAATATTAAAAACTGAAGGTAGCCGCTAACTATGGCATTGGGACATCAAAATCTCTATCGCCCCATGACCATGCGTGTTGTTAAGCACCCGAAATGTCGGGAATTAAATAAAAGTTAAAATAAGTAAATTACACGAGATAGAATGCGTATATAAAGTTTTATTCAAAATTAAAGTTGTTCAAAAGGACTATAAATCAATAGCACGCTACAGACTATAAACTATAAATTTCTAGCACGCTATTAAATACGCTATGTTATAGCGCGCTATTTATAAGAAAGTGTGTAGGAGGCCGGCAAGCGCGTTAAGTTTAACAGCACGCTATATCTCGGAGCAATCTACATTACGTGTCATTCATTGAATAGACCGCGTGCTATCTTAAAGAATATTATTTCGTAATAGGTCGCATTTTAGATTAAAATAAAATAAAGTGGTAAAGAGAAATCAATGAACGCTCTTTCAAACTTTTCAGGCTTGTGACTTTCTATAATCCTAAAAATTTTTAAGGCATGTACTTTTTAAAACAAAATAAAATTAATAATTTTTAATTATAATTTATGTAAACGTTATTTTAACCTTAATATAAATTATAAATCAATTAAAGGCGTATTTAAAAGTTTATTGATTGTATTTACAAAAATCAACTATTTACAAACACTATTATATACACTTTTGTTTCTATATTTTATTTACATTTAAAAACATTAGTAAGGTTTCTTTTGTAGCAGACAACTGTGTCTTTGATTGCTTATAAATATACAGTATACACTAACTAAACAACGTCTAACACTAAATAGTTCGCGCGTGATGAATAGCGTGCTGCTAGATTAAATTTGCGTCACATGTCTACTCCCAACAGCAGAACTAATTGCCACTCGATATGAATAGCGCCTAAGCGTCATAGCGCTATAGCGTCATGGCGACTACTTACATACTTGTAGCACGCGCTATGAGTTATGGAGAGATAGCGCGCTATAATATGTCGCTATGCGCTATATTAACCACCATTATTCAAAATGAACAACGACTCACAGTACTAGCAATACGTGGGCTACGACTGCGAACACGATGAGCAGGAATATTCCGATTGATAAGTGCGTCTTTGGTAGCGCAATGGACCAAGTGTTATCTAAATCACCGACGAAATTGATTTAATGACAATGCATGCCTTTCAGGTTAATTCTTCCCGATGATTTTCTCATACGTATGTATGTAGATGAAAGCAGATGAATGCGGTTAAGAATGCGATCGCGGATTTTCCTTGGTATGTATGTGAATTTCTTTCCAGGAATAAGTTGGGTCTCTGTGATAGTATGAACATCATGCACTTGCACTATATTTGTATTCACTAGGACACAGGCAAGATTTAGTTTTTAAGTATAAGATTTTACGAAACGGAGCGGGTCTGCTGAGCGGTTTACTTCACTTGACACTGAGGATTTCTGAATCACACCGCAGCCACCAAATTGTTGTACGGAGACGAGCTAAACGTTTTTTTAATAATGATTTAAAAACACTTTATTTAATTATAATATAAATGGATCTAAATTTAATTTAGGTCTTTTAACAACAGGTTTGAAGATGGAAACAGACTGCCGTGGCGAAACTGCTCCATTGCAATACTCACTAAACCAATATTATTAAGAGGCAGTGCAAGAACTAAGGTTAACAAATATAGGGTATAACAGTACGGTGAGTGTAAAGAACCGAAGATCCTCCTTATTAGAAACGAGGCATTCCATCTTAGTCCTCAGGGGTGTCAATACATCTGCCCTTTGATACGTAATTGAGGATAGATGTAGATGGCTGTGACTTCCAACAGATGGCACTGTTACGGCCTAAAGTTACCCTGACAAGGTCGTTGAACTCGGGCCCATTAGGAGTCCAACTCGACGAGTAACGGAAGGTCGAGCCCAAAATGGCATATGGATAAATAAATTAGACAGGTTAGGTACACAAACATAAGACTTACCTATTTCCAGAAGTGGGGTTAACCACGGGAATAGTCAGGTGAAAGTGAGGGTTGTCAGTAAAGTAATGTGTAATCTGACATCCCAATTGTGAGATCCATCCCTCTCTCCAATTGTGAGATCAATCCCTCTCTCCAATTGTGAGATCCATCCAAGGGGGGTTCAACAATGGAACACTTCCGCTTCTACTTCCACTATACTAGTTTATTATAGTTTATTGTACATTTAATCAACTTGAAGTTAAACCAAAACAACGTTAAATCGACGTTAAACAGAGACACGCGTCTCAACTCAAGGATGGCTGGTCAAAGTTCAAAGTCCCAGGCCAACGTAGCACAAACTACCAACGCGTCGATGCAATTAACAGCATAAAATTCCTTAAATCACTCAACGTTTATTCAACCTGGGCTTCGTGCAAACAAACTAAAGAAATAAGCCTCAAACTCGACCCGGGAACGCGGGCGTTCAACCGTATCAAAAACCAACACGCGAACTCTTAGCACCACGGCTATCTCACCAAGCAGGCACGAGAGTCGCCGGCGCGGCAGTCGGCCGCACCCATCCGCATCACCGCAGTCCCGATGTCAGACCGGTTTCCCGATCGAAAACGCGCGCCGTCGCAGGTTGCAAATTGTTAAAATCATGCCTAAACAAACGTGCGTGAACAAACCCCCGTCCCGGACAAAAGGACCTATGTCCGCGAATAAATTGGCAAACGGGATAGGGTCGCGACGGCACGTTGCAAAACCGAATCTCCAACCAAAACCTCGGCCACCCTAGGCACCCCATCCGGTCCATACGACAACTAAACAATGCGTCCACGGCGCCAATACAAAGGCAAAGCGTTAGGTACTTTAACTAACACGAGGTCTCCAACCCGAGGAGGATCCGTCTTGTCAGACCACTTAACGCGCTGCTGCAAAAGATGTAGGTACTCCAGAGACCATCGGTGCCAAAAACTCTGAGTCATTTGTTGCAGCAGGTCAAATCTGCTCAACCGCGAAGAGCTTATTTCCCTGAAGGGGTACTCGAGCAGGGCGTTAAGCGGCTGGCTAATCAGGAAGTGGCCAGGGGTTGGAACCTCCAAAATCATTCGTATCGGACGAGAGGGGACAGAGGGGCCGAGAGTTGAGGACCGCCTCAATTTTACAGAATACAGTGGCAAGCTCCTCAAATGACAAAATAGTTCCGCCAATAACGCGACGGAGATGCGTTTTTGCAACCTTAACCACTGCCTCAAAAATATCGCCCCAGTGTGAGCAAGCCGGAGGGTCAAATTTCCACTGGATGCCCTTCTTGGACATCGTAGTAGCTAAATAAGTCCTGTTGCTGGACAGAAATTCGACGATCTCCTTCAAATATCTATCCGTGCCCTTATAATTCGTTTCGCAATCCGACCGGATCAGGTCCGGTAAACCGCGACGCGATACGAAACGGCCCAGCGTGGCCACAACGACTTCAGTGCTGAGGACACTTATAAGTTCTAAGTGAACGGCCTTAGTGGAGAGGCACACGAAAACACAC